TCGGTAAGAGAAACACTTGAGTTATGATACGGCGGTTGTGGAAGCCAAGGTTCCTGTACGCAGATAAAGACTCTGAGTGGCAGGCTTCAGAGATAACAGTGGTGAAAGTCTCCCTCTGCAGAGAGGTGTTCTCCACAGGGCAAATTTCCCCAAGAGCAGGCTTTGCAGGGTCACTTCAGCATATGTCAGAATGTATTTTGGGGGAAAATATTTTACTTCCTCTAAGGCTTGCTGTCTGTCACAGGCTGCACCCCAGAGTCTGGTTGGAACTTGGTATCCTATCACCTCAGAGTCTGTTGTCAGTCTCGTGATCCCTAGTTTAATATTAAGGCTGTTCAGCTGTGCCTAAAACCCCACAAGAGAGCAGGCGTGACGCGGCGTGCCGGCTTCCTTCTCTGCCTCGGCCTGGGATTCTGTTTTTCAGGCTTCCCTCGGCCCCCAGGGGGCCTGTTCAGTCAGTTTTAGGGGACTTCACATTTTATTTTTGGTTTACCACATGCATACGTATTTTACTTAGCTGTTATCGTAGTAAGTATAGAATTGTTTTCATTATATGTCTGTTCAGCACATCTCAAGCCTATTTCGTCCTCAGAGTCTTCCTAAGTACCGTTACAACTTTTGCTTACTACTCCACCTGCCTGATACACACGTGTTTTCCAAGCGTTCTTCCTGTTGGATGTTGTTTGTTTCCAGCTGCCATCCTTTAGGCTCATTCTTCAGTTTTCGCTAGCTCCCACTTCACTGAACGCTGGGTGTTTTACATCAGATATTTTTTTTTCGGTTTATAGATGAAGGAATTGAAGCTTAGTTATATTAAACATAACCAGGTTATACAATAAGCCGGTATTAGAGCCAGGTATGTTGAAACTTGAAAGTTGTTTGGGCTCAGTGGCTCAGCCTATAATCCCAGGACTTTGGGAGGCCTAGGCAAGTGGATTGCCTGAACCTGTGGGTTCGAGACCAGCCTGGGCACCTTGGCAAGACCTCATCTCCACAAGAAAATAAAAAGTTAACCAGGCATGGTAGTGTATGCCTGTGGTTCCAGCTCCTTGGAGGGCTGAGGCAGAAGGATTGCCAGAACCCAGCAGGGAGACGCTGGGGCGGCCCTGAGCCTGTGTGCCACTGCACTCTAGCTTCAGTGATGGAGTGAGACTCTGACTTAAAAAAAAGAAACTTGAAAGTTCATATTTTTACTTCCACGCTCTCCCTTTACTTCAACTAATACCTTTTCCTTCTTTGAATGACTTTTTCTTTTTTTTTTTTGAGTCGGTCTCCCTCCATCACCCAGGTTGGAGTGCAGTGGCACACAGGCTCAGGGCCACCCCGGCATCAACCTGCTGGGTTCCGACGATCCTTCCGCCTCAGTCTTCTAAGTAGGCAGAACTACAGGTGCACGCTACTGTGCCCAGCTAATTTTTTTTATTTATTGTGGAGATGAGGTCTTGTCATATTGCCCGGGCTGTTCTTGAACCTGTAGCCTCAGGCAATCCGCTCATCTCAGCCTCCCAAAGTGCCGGGATGACAGGCTTGAGCCGCTGCGCGCCGCCCTTGAATGCCTTTCCAAGACCAAGTCCCAGAAGTAGAATTTATGATTCATGGTACAAATTTCCATACTTGCTTATACCAGTAAGACATCGCTATTCATGATTGCTTTACTAGTTTACCCCTTAATTTTTTCCAAAGTTAATATTTTGAATAATAATGTTTTAGCTTTTCTTTTGTGCATAAGCTCAAAGTCTTCCAAAGTGTGTGTTTATGATTTGTTTTCTTGTTGAAATCTATTCTTGTTCACTGCCTGTTTATAAGTGTTACTTTGGTGTTTATAATTTGCATGTAAATTTTAATTTGTCAGTCTGTTTCTCCTATTATTTTAACTGCTTCAAAATTTAGAAAGCTGTCTCATCAAGTGTCTGATACCTAATTCCAACTTGTGCTAGTTTTCCTTCTGTTCAGTATTTGACTCCCGATTTTGAGTTGATGTTTGCGAATGGCCTGGATGTTCAAACATTTCCAAGCTGTTATTTGGTCATCTCAACATCACTCGTTCACTCCACCTTCCCCCATTATTTTGAGTGTGGTGGCGTAGACAGAGTGTGGCTTCTCGACGTAAGAAATGCTGGTGCCAGCCTGGCTCTAGATGTCAGCCCCCTCCTCGTTCAAGGACACCCCTTCCAGGGAGCTGAAGAGATCCTCTTTTGCTCTGCCTCTGTCACGCCCACACCTGTCCCGGCAGACACCGAAACCCCCGACCTGGCCCGTCCTCAGCACCTCGGGGAGCCCTGGGTCTGCAGGGCCTGGGCCTTCCCACTGGGGGAAGGTGTCGGACGTGGCGGCCCGTGAGCTATCTGCCCCACTGCGTCTGGATAGCACGGGGTGACGGGACTTGTACAGCCGTGGCTGAGCTGGGACCTTGGCCAGGGGAACGCAGGCGCACGGGCAACTGCTGCGTTAACAGAAACAGCAAAGCTCGGAGCCCCAGGAGGAGAGGCAAAGGTGGATACGCTGACCATCGCCCCACACACCCATGTGTGGGGGTGGAGAAGACGGCCAAGGCTGTGAGGAGGTCTGGAAAGTCGCTGTCCTTCCGACCGGGCTCTGCGCCCTGCCTGGACACCACTGACCACCGCACCCTCCGCGGGTGCCTGGATGTGGGTGGCGCCACTGCCTGCTCTTTCCTTTCTCTTGGGCATCGTGGTGACGCCTCTCCCAGCAGGTACCTCATGGCCTCTGCAGGAGAAGGTGGCCTGGGCACCGTCCTCCAGCGCTGGGGCTCCTGGGGCTTTCTTACTGTTCCTTGCACAGTTCTTGGTCTCTTTCATCTCAGCATTTCTCGACTGTCCTACTGAGGATCCTTGGGGCTTGGGGGACATGGCTCCTGGCCCCGTCACCCGTGGCACCGTTCCCCACGGCCTGCCCTCCTGGGCATCTCCGTCTCTTGCTCCTGAGCACTTGGAGGAAGAGCGCCGAGATCACGGGACGTGATGTGGCAGGGTGACACCAGAGCGCAGAGAGGTTGTGTCCACCACGCATCTGTAGGTGTGTGTCCACCACCTAGTGCTGTCACGCCCAACCCACACTCACTGGTCCCAAAGAGCCTTTCCACCACCCGCGTTTCTGAGTGCTTCGACATGTGGTTCCAGGACATCACATCTGCCAGGCACTGGTCCTTCTTGTCCGGGGTGTCCAGCCACCAGGTCCTTGTTGTCCAAAGGCAGTTCTTCTGACGACTTGAACATAAGGCCATCCAACAGAAAATGGAGAAGCTTCCCAAAGGCCTAAAAACTGGACCCTGATGACACTGACACTGGCCCATTGAGACTCATCTCAGAGCATTCGAGGGTGGTTCTGGAAAGCCATAACCCTAGAATGTGGAGTGGCGAGGGTCGCCCACCCGTCTTCTCTTCCAGGACTGGCTGAGAGTGGAAAAGACGTCTCTATGTTTTCCTTGCCTGGGCAAGTTCTCCGATCCACAGTTAAAGTCTCTCCCTCCCTCTCTCTCTCTCTCTCTCTCTCTCCTTTTCTTTTTTGAGTCGGGGTCTCACTCTGTCTTCCAGGCTGGAGTGCAGTGGCCCACTTATGGCTCACCACAGCCTCATCCTCCTGGGCTCAGGCAACCCTTCTGCCTCAGCCTCCTGAGTAGCCAGGACGACAGGTGTGCGCCACCACATCCAGCTAATTTTTTAATTTTTTTGTGGAGAAAGGTCTTACTAGCTGGGCTTGGTGGCTCAGGCTGTAATCCCACACTTTGGGAGGCTGAGGTGAGTGGATTGCCCGAGCTCTCGGGTTCGAGACCCGCCTGGGCAACTTGGCGAGACCTCATCTCTACAATAAATCAAAAACTAGCCAGGTGTAGTAGTTCCAGCTACTTGGAAGCCTGAGGTGGAAGGATCGCTGGAGCCTAGCAGGTCGAGGCTGTGGTGGCTGGGAGCGGCCCCTGCACTCCAGTCTGGGCGACAGAGTGAGACTCCAACTCAAAAAAAAAAAAAGAGAAAGGTCTTACTAAGTTGCCCAGGCTGGCCTCAAATTCCTGAGCTCAAGCGATCCTCCTGCGTCAGCCTCCCACAGGGCTGGGATGACAGGTGTGAGTCACTGCACCCCGCTGAAGACTTATTTTCTCACACTTCGTTTTCTACCCTTCAGGATTTCCCATGACTTCCCTGCAAACTCAGACATGACGTTTAAGAATAATTGTGACATTTTTGCAGAACATTTTTGGAAGGTTTTTCAGATGAACTCCTCCACCATATCGTCCTGTGTTATTTTTTTTAGTCAGGGACTTTATTTAAGGAAATGAAGGCCGGGCTTGGTGGCTTAGCCTGTCATCCCAGCACTTTGAGGGACCGAGGCGAGAGGATGGCCTGAGCCCACAGGTTCGGGACCAGCCTGGGCAACATGGCAAGACCTCGTCTCTACAATACATCAAAAAATTAGCCAGGCGTGGTAGCATGTGCCTGTGGCTTTGGCTACTTGGAAGGCCGAGGAGGAAGGATCGCCGGAGCTCAGTAGTCGACACTGGGGTGGCCGTGAGCATGCCACTGCACTCCAGCTCAAAAAGAAAGAAAAGAAAATAGAATGTGGCCTTCTGCTTTCCCTGTGTACACAGCAGGAAGAGAGGTGGACGCAACAGACGCTCACCCCGTATATGAGCGCAGGGTGGCGCAGATGGAGAATTCGGTCCCTGAGGACCTTGGCTTAGCCAGGGCTCCCTGGGCGGAGGCCACGTGTCCCCGTGGGGCGGCAGCATCTTCCTGACGCCCAGTCATACCCGTGAAACGGCAGCAGGCTCAGAACTGTGGACATGGAAGCGTCATCGTGGCGGGAGAATGGAATAAGAGCTGCTTTTGAGAACCCCCAGGCTGGGAAATCCAGTGCTTTCTGGCCTTTTGTTTTGTTTCTCATTGTAGAAGGCATGAAGTAGCAGGAGTGGAAAGGAGGGAGGGGGTCGCCCCTCTGATGCCCAGGGGCTCTGCTTGACCTGGTGCACACGGCGCAGGGGGGTGATGCTCAGCGTGTCCTCTGGGTGGCACCGCAGGCCGCCGGTCAGCTTCGGCCGGGCCCTTCCGTGTGCGCAGCGGGCAGGACCGGGACTGCCGTCTCGTCCACGCACAGGAAGCTGTGTGCGGTCGGGGAAGCGTCCTCTGCTGAGCTGTGAGATCACTTGCACTGGGGACGAGAGAGGCGGCCCGCTCATGCTAAGGGCCGGGCCCTTGGACTGCACCTTCGGTCAGGACAGACGTTCCAGCCCTCTGCAGGCGCTCTCTTTGAAGGTGACGGCTGGGAAGTCGGATCCGCCCCCTCAGCTCTGGGGACTGGCTTGTGTGTCCCCTTGCTGTAGGTTTCTTCTTTCCGGCCAGGCCTGTGCTGGCCCGAGGGCGTGTGAGCCTGGAGCCTCGCCTGCATCCTTCTGAGCTCAGGCTCCGGCTGTCAGCGGCCACACGCCAGCCTTCGCACTTGGCCTTCCCACCGAGCTGCCCCAAGGCTTGGCGGTGGGTGGGTGGGCGCAGAGCTGCCCACTCGGAGCCGCTGGTGGAAATTCCTGCCCGGGCCGGGCCCCGAGAGCCCACGGCCAGCACCCTGGACGGGACGCCAGAAAGCAGCAGGCGGCAGGAGACCGTGAGACACAAGGTCTCGCTCCGACGACCTCTTGAAGTCCAGGTTGTGTGGACCAGAGGAGAGGCACGGCCCCTCCTTTTGTAAGAGTTTGGGTAAGGAAGTCGCAGGTTCACGAGGGTGGCTTGAAGACGCTGTCGCCGTGCTGTCCTCGCCTCCGTCACTGCACACAGACGTGTGTCCCGGGCCGGTCCTCCTGCCTCGGCGCCCCTCCGGTTTGGCTCCACAGATGTGACATTCCTCGGCCAAGCCCTCCGGCCTGTCCCCGTCGTGGGACTGCCGTTCTCTGGACAAGCAACGGGTGACGCACTCCTCCTTGGAAAGCCCAGCAGGTCTATGCATAACTGTTTAAAATGTCTTTGCATAGCTGTGCCTCTGAAACGATCTTACGCAAAATGCCTTAGGAACGACCCTCATTTTTGACTGCAAAAGATGCTGCTGGGAAGGAAGCAGCCAGTTATCGACGCCTCACGGAGCAGGCTGGGGAAAGTAAGCTCCCAGGGGCCCAAACCCCCAGCAAGGACCACGGGCTGCGTTCCCAGGGGTGGACTTCCAGGCACCGAGGCATTGCTCCTTGCTCTCCTGGAGGGAAGGCGCCCTCTGGGCGGGCCTGGGGCCGGGGTGCTCTTCTCAGAGATGCTGGACGAGCTTCTGAGGGGTTCGGAGCCCAGACCTTACCTCGAGGGACCACTGTCCCTCCGCTGTCCTGGACGCCGGGGGCACACTCCGAGGACTCCGGCCCCTGCACTGGGAGCTGGGAGCCACGGAGGACCCTGAGGACACCCGGCTGAGCCTGCGCGTCCTCTTGGGACCAGCCGTCCTCGGTCCCCCACCAGGCTGCTTTTGCAAATGCGTTTTATTTTCTCAAAATGGAAGGACACGGGCATCGCGCTGGTTCTGCGGTGTTCATGTTCTGCTGGGTTGCAAGGCCTCCAGACTTGGACGAACGTCCCGAGTCCCCCACGAGGAAGCGCCCTCAGCCGAGGTCGGGTGTGCCGTGGATGCCACTTCTGGCTCGGAGCCCTGGCCTGCCCGCGCGTCACCGGCCCACAGCCCTCCCTGCCTCAGTTTCCACACCTCCCCGCGAGGCCGGCATCTCGTGCTGTGGAAGGGCTCTCAGCGTGACTCTGAGGACGAACGCCCAACATCCTCCCCAAAGGGCCCCTTATCAGCATCGCAGGCCAGAGGTGGAATGGAAGGCGGATTTCTGAGATGTTTCGAACTACTCCTCGCTTGTCTGTGGAGGCCAAACTCAGATAAGGAAGCATGTCCGCTGTGCTTTTGTTTCCACTCCACAACTCATGATGCTGGCTCAAAGGCTCGTTGTTCTTTCCCTAAGACAGTGTCCCCAGTTCCCAATGAATGGCGCCACCCGCTTGGGCTGTGGACGGCCTTTGTTCCCTGGGGAGAGGAGCGGCCGTTTGCGCCGGGCCGCGGGGGAGGCACTGCCACTGCGGACGCAGGGTGCTGCCTGGACCGGATGGGCGCCCCCTCCCTAGTCTGCTGCCGGGAGCAATTCTGGCCTCTTTCTGGAACTTTCCACAGAGAAATGAAGAGACCTTTGCGGCCGGGGAGTCTGGGCTAGGAACCCACACGTGGGAGCGGCGAGCTGAGGCCTGGGCGGTGGCGGTGTCCTGGGAAAGGGCAGCGGGGCGGCTCCGGGACTGCCTCTGTGGTCTTGGCTTTACTGTGACTCCCGGGCCGCCACTCAGCCCAGGGTGTCTCCGGGCAGGTGGCCTGGCCTGGGCACGACACCAGGCCCGTCTGTGTCCGGGGGGCTCCCGCGGGGGCCAGGCTGGCCGTCCAGGCAGAGGGCTGCTCACCCTGAGGCCCTTGGGAACACGCGGCCCTGGGGGGCAGCAACCCAGTCGGGCCGGGGGCCCACCCACGCGTGTCCCTAACTTCCAGCGACCGCGTGGGAGCCCACAGCCGAGTTGACTTTCTGGAAACTTGGCCCGTCTTCCAGAAGATGGCATTTTATCCCTGCACAAAGGATCTTATCTCCAGGTGAGTATGCTCTGGCAGCCACAGAGACAAGCTCAAGCTCACAGAGACAAGGGCTGGGGAGGCGAGGGGGTCGACGGCAACTCTCAAGTTCAAGGAGAGAAGAACCGCGGGACCGTGGACGGGCCTTCCTTCCCTGGAGAGAAGGGGTCCTCTGAGCCGACGGTGGGGGCGCTGCTCACACGCTGAACGTGGGGAGCTGCCG